GGGCTGGTACATAGGAGTCTGCAGGCAGCGAATATGGTGTTAGATCTGGGTAGATATCAATCTGAGTGTGATCTGGTAAGCAAGCCTGGGGGCGATGTCAACCCGTTGGTGGATATTACTTTTGTTGATGATGTGATGATCCCCATAGTGCAGGAGAATGACGGCATTATTCAGAGCGTGAAGGATGCCATGGACATCATGCACGCATCGTTTGTTGCACACTTCATGGAGCCGAATTACGGAAGAGGAAAGACGGGTGCGCTTTTCCAGCTCCGAGGACCAAGCCGCGAATCACTACGAGAAGCATTGTATGGAGGGGAGTTTGCGATGACGAGTGGCAAGTATGGGTTCACATTTCACATCGAAAGACATTACAAACATATGGGAGTGGTGGTTTCCTTTGACTGCTCACGGCGGCCAGAAATTACCAGACGTATTCAAAGTTGTGAACGGGCACTAGGCCCTATCAGACGGGGCATCATACCACGGAAAAGTATAAAAGATGAGTTCAAGGTTAGATATATGGAGGCACTGGCCTTTTCGCGGCTATTTCAGCAGATTGAGATATGGCATGAACTGGGAGAAAGGAATGAGTCAAGGCTGAGGGCTGCATATATGAGGGGTCTTAGGATGGCAACAGGACTAGCACGCAATGCAGGCACGGTGGAGCACCACCTCGACGAGTATGTACTTTGGAAAGCCAGACGGGCGGATTTCACGATGATTAAGCGTATTAGGAGGCTGCGTTATCTCGAAAGGGTGGTGAATCATGCGCCGGCGACCTTAAGGCGGCTGGTGGATATTCTTGGGACTGAGGGTACCTGGCTTGGTATGCTGGAAATGGACTTCGAATGGCTACAGCTATGGAGGAAGACAGGTGACACGTCAATGGAGACGCGACAATGGATCGAGCTCATACGGGAGGCTCCCAAGAAGTATCTGGCTATATGTAATGTTGCATGGAAGCGCTTTATGCAATGGCATGTAGATCATTGTCAACATGTGGTATGGCACCATAGAATTAGAAGTATGGTTCCAAGGGAACATGAGGTGCGTCAGAGTTTACGCTTCTTTTGCTATGAATGTGGAGCCACGTTTGAAAGCAAGTGTGCGTGGAACGGTCACCGCACCAAAGTACATGGCAATAGTGATGATATACCTCGGTATGCGTATGATGGGTATTGTGCTGCATGTGATGTGAACTTTCATACAAGGAAAAGGTTGATTTATCACATGAAATATCGCCACACCGAATGCATTGATCTACTGCGGGGTGTGGTGGAGCCGTTGGATGGCGAAAAGATGGCGGAATTGGATAAAAAAAGATATGAAGGAAACGGCAATGCTCAAAGCCATGGGATACTCTGAATCGAAGGCACTGAGACCACCTACGGAGGGACCGAGGTATTGTAGGAACTCAAGATCGAAGGAGAACATGAATGTGTTAATTCCGCAAGTAATGATGGAGGAAGTCCCCAAATTTGACAATGAGGAAAGTGCGAACTACCAATGTGTGGATAGGGAGTCGCAATTACTGCTGCTATACGACTCCGAGGGTGGTTCTGCAGCATGGTTGGATAACTATCATGAGGATGGACCATTTCAGATCAAGATGATCGACGTCAGGACAATGGAAATGGACGCGATTGCTACAGAGGGTATGGGTCACAAGGTGGTGGCGGATATATGCAAGCGAAAGATATTTGGTGTTGTCGGACAGATATATGGTTACATGGGTATGCGACTGTGGAGTGGTGCCGAAATCCGTGGGAGCATGTGGGATAAGCAAACAAGGGCGAATGCTGTATTTAGAGCCCTAATGGTTATATTTCATGCGTGTGGAAGGGCCAGCATACCAATGTGCGTGATTACGGACATGGCCATGATACCCACTGGAGTGAATGACAACTATATGGAGAAGGATATAATGGTCGGAGTTGAAAGCCCAAATATTGAATATGAGTACTGGCATGACCGATGGTGGATGATGAATGCGGAATACGTATGAAGTGACTTCCTGGTGAGGGTGCGCGGGTCGTGGCCCAGGGGGGGTGGATTCAGCCCACGACGTAACAACCCCCTGGGCTAGACGGCCGAGTCGGGGCTCCCGACGCTGTACGTCATGGGCGACCAGCGGGGCGCTGCTGGCGCGAGGACGTGGACGTAGACTGGGACCTCTGAGGAGGCCGGTGTGGCGAGCCCCCCAGGGTGGGTCCCCACCTGGGGGGTTGGACTTCGTCGTGATGGGGTCGAAGTGCCTGTGTTCTTTTGGGGGAGTGTGAGGAGGTAGGATGAGGATCAGGTGGCCAGGTCGACCCCGTCACGACTGCATGTTCGGCCCGCGCGTCGCGGGCTGTGGAGACGCTACGAGGATTGCCTCTCTTGGTGCGAGCGCAGCAGCAGGAGGAGGAGGAGAAGAAGGAGGAGGAGAAGAAGGAACAGGAGGATGAGGAGGAGCAGGAGGAGGAGGAGGAGGAACCGGAGGAGAGGGAGGAGGAGCAGGGAGGAGGAGGAGGGAGGAGGAGGGAGGAGGAGGAGGAGGAGGAGGGGCAGGAGGAGGAGGGCCAGGCCACTCGCAGGGGCGTTCCGTGCGCGCCCTGCTCAGGCGGAGACGCGCTCTGTCGCCTGCAGGGCAAGACATTGGTTCTCCTCCTCCTCCTCCTCCTGCTGCTCTTTCTCCTGCTCCTCCTCCCTCTCCTCCGGCTCCTCCTGCTGCTGCTCCTCCTCCTCCTGTTCCTCCTTCTCCCTCTCTTGGCTTTTCAGGGTCGAGTCTAGCCTCAACTTCCCTCTCCTCCTCCTGCTGCTGCTCCTCCTCCTCCTCCTCCTCCTCGTCCTCCTCCTCCTCCTCCTCCGCCTCCTCCTCCTTCTCCTCCTCCTCCTCCCCCTCCTCTTCTTCTCCTCCTCCTCCTCCTCCTCCGGCGGAGGTGCTGCGCCCGCAGGTGGCCCCACCCGTTCGGGAGACTGGCCCGCAAGTGTGGCAATGTTTTGCACGCATTGCGTTGACGAAGAAAAGTGCCATTCACATAAACTTTAGGCGCTCCGCGCGGGTTTCTTGTATCCGCGCTGGGGCCCCCCCGGCGGCGCCTCCGGCGCCGCCCCTGGCGCGCTCCGCGCGCCAGTTAGGGGGGGTCCAGCGCAGATCCAAGAAGTCCGCACGTATCGCCGAAGGTTTTTTTTGTTTTTTGTTGTTTCTTAGTTTTTTTTCATCTTCGGGAAACTGGCCCGCAGGCGTGGCAATGTGTTGCACATCTTGTGGGGCCCTCCGGGAAGTGTTGGTGGCTCAAAGGTCGGGTCCCGAAGGAGTGGGTCCTCAGAATAAGAAAGGGGTCCAGTGGTTGATCTACACTGTTTGAGGCACCTCGTCCTTAGGACCCCATCCCTCAGGACCCCATCTTTGAGCCGCCGAAAGAGGGGAAGGAGGACGAGAGGAAGAAGAAGAAGGAAGACGATAAGGAAGGGAAGGGTGCCTTTTGGTGGTCTGTCGGGATCCTCGGACTCCTAGGGATCCGGAGTATTCCCATGCATCCCCAGGCATCCTATCCCGAGGAACCCTACGACATCCGAGGAATCATTAGGCATCCTCTGAGAATCCTTTGGGAATCGCGAGAATCCTCAGGAATCCGTAGGACCCCTGTGGAAGTTGAGGAATCCTAAGGGAATCCGAGGAATCCTTTTTGGAATCCCACGAATCCCTCGGAATGCATCGGAATCCTCTAGGACTTCCTGGGACTGGCTTCTAGGATTCCCAGGGATATTGTTAGGAATCCCATCCTGAAGAATTTTACGAATCCTTATGAGTCCTCAGGAATCTGGAGGGAATCTTGAGACTTGTTTCGCAACCCGTATAAAACCTTGGGAATCCTACAAATCCATAGGAGTACGAATGTATTCCCGGGACTTTTAGGAACCCATCGGAACCCCAGCAGTGGCCGCGGCGGGAGACGAGTTATTTCCCCAATCTGATTTTCGGTCACAATCCGTCAATACACCCGCGCAAGAAAAAAAGATAGTTCTCATTTTAACCAGGTGTTTATGAAAGACCCCCAGGAAGGGCCGATAGCCTGGGAATCCACGCGCTGAAGCGAAGGCGTGCGCCAGAGGGTATGATCCGCGCTGCGCGCCTTGCCGCCCCGGTCAGACAACCCGTTCCCCTCCCTGGGGCGGCGCGGTGGCGCGGAGTGACACCGTGGTTCCGCGTGGCAGTCCCCTGTAGGACGAGTGAAACCGAGAGTTGCCCTTATTCAGCTCTTTTTCCACTGCTCGATCTCTCGCGGCGCTTTGCTGCTCTTCAGGAACGCTTAAATGGAAGATTGCTGCGGTCGCGCGGTGCATGTAGCTGCCCGCATGGTGCATGTTGGGTGGCCCATGGCCTGGCCAGAGGGAGAAGTGTCCTGGCCGACTGGGGGGATAAGGGTGGAGGAGATCGAGGCTCCTGGGCGGCGAAGACGGGAGCGAGGACTGTGTGCGTGTGTGCGTGTGCGTGTGTGTTTGTGTGTGCGTGTGTTTGTGTGTGTGCCTGTGATTCGCTTTCTGGTGCCCCCGTTCTTTATGGCTGGTGCAGCCAATTCAGCCTCGCCGCCGACGGAAAAGTGTGTGTGTGCTTGCATTTTATGTGTGGCCATCGCGGTTGGGGCGATGGAGCCTCGCAGAGTTCTTCGCCCGCCCCTCCCTCTTTCGATGCGCTCCCTGGCCCCCTCCCCCCCTCCCCCTCGTCCGCGCACATGCCTCGGGCCACGGTGCCCTCCTCCCCCTGTTTCCTGGAGGTCGAGGCTTGGGGTCGGAGGGCCTCGGTGCCTCGAGGAGCGAGGACCGACGAGCCGTGCTTCCGCATCGGGGGCCTGCGATCGGGGAACGCGGCTCGAGGATCGAGGATCGGGGGTCGAGTATCGAGAATCGGTGATGGAGGATCGAGGATCGAGGATCGAGGATCGAGAAATCGGTGAGGGTCGAGGATCGAGGGCCGAGAACGGGCGCAGCCCCCTCGCTGTCGTCTCACCGAG